CAGCGTGTCCGTGTGTGAATAAAGCACGCAGATGATGGTTTGAGCCTCCGTTCCCAGATGCGCCTTTATGAGGCTCGAAGCCTCCTGAAGAACCACGACGCGGAACAGGATATATCGAGTATCCTTCGTCCCCCAAACCCAATGGATCTATGGTGGACACGGGGGATCAGAGCCCTGTGATGTATCCCGATCAGTGTTTTTCTGGAATGAGAGGAAGATGCGCAGAGTGGGTCCAGCGATGGCATCAACGCCAGTCCATCGCTAGATCGTCCATGCGACCCGACAGCTAGGGAACGAGCGCCGAGAGAAAATGACAAGCCAATTTGGAAGCAAAGTGATGCTTGATTCGAGGATGGAGGGTGGGAGGGAAAGAGAAAGAAAGGGAGGATAAGAGAGGGGCGGTGAATCTGGGGCCGGTGATGACTGGAGGACTTGAGCATGCTCTGGTGGCCGAGAGCGCACACAGCAGTGAGGGGTCGACCTTCCCATCACCTGCGGGGTCGTTCATCGAAATGGGTGCAGTGTGCCTTTTCTGTTATGAAATGTGTTTTCCTTTTGTCTTTACATTTATTTAAGCTTTTAAAAGCTTAAAACCACGTGTTTTTGCGTAATAAACTGTATGCTAAATTAATTTTACAAGTTGTAATAAAGTTGGGATACAGCGACGTCAAAGTAATAATAATTAATAATAATAATTTATGCATTTAGCAGACGCTTTTATCCAAAGCGACTTACAGTGCATTCAGGCTATACATTTTTTACCAGTATGTGTGTTTCCTGGGAATCGAACCCACGACCTTTTGCGCTGCTAACATTTTACATTTTACAAAGTAAACGTAACAGGGTTGACATTTAGCCAATACTAGCCTTGTACCCGGGACACTGCAACGTGTTTAAAAGAAAAAAAATAGATATAATAATAATAGCTCTACATGCATGTTCAGGTTTTAATGATCAGTTTAATGTACAGAATCATGGTAACAGGGTTGAGATTTAAGCATTTTAAGTTTGTTCACTGACTGTGTACTGTATGTAACAAAACATAAGATAAAGTCATTTTTAAAAAGACAAAGAGAATGATTTGTTCATGAAGAAATCACATTCAAAGGAGGATGATTAATGGATTTTTTTTCATGATATTTTTGTTTGAATTTTTTTTTACATCATTCTAATAAGGAGGAGTTATGATAGTAACAGTGCTGATGCTTAGTCTTTTAAATAAAATGATGTTATAAAAATACTAAACATATAGCTTATTTCCATATTTATTATGTACACACAACAAGTCATCTACGTGGATAATATAAAATAAATTTAAAAGCAATAATAATAATATATCTACCATTATGGATACTGAAATAAGATAATAATCTATATCATTATATATATTGACAGACACCTGTCTGTATTATATAATACTTTCTAATCATGTCCAATTGAATTTCCCATGGACTCCAATCAAAGTATCTCAAAGATGATCCAGAGAAATGGGAAGCACCTAAATTTCAAGTGTCATAACAAAGGGCATGAATATCTATGTCAGTGTATTCATTCAATGTATACTGAGGTTTTTCTTTTTAGTAAATTCACAATTTTTGTATGTCATGGACTATTGTAATGTGATTTTTTTTTTTTTTTTACATTTTAGAATAAGACTGCCTAACAAAATGTGAAATAAAATGAAGGAGATGTTGAATCCTCTCTGAATTTACAGTGTTAAAGTATTCGTTTACAGATATGTTGGATATATCATGCTATATGAGGGATGCAAAGGAACAATTTTTAATGGAATCCATCTGTTTTACTGGCCTATTGTAATAAGGACATATTAAGGCATAATAGAAAATATCACATTGGCAAATTATAATTTGTGTACACAGTTTATCACAGCACAATTGTGTGTGTAATCCATGTTCTTCTGTGTTTTTTGTATATATTTTTAAAAAATTAAATTGGAATTTGTAAAAAATTAAATTGGAAAAATGCACATCATTATTTTTTTTAAATATTGCATGAAAAAATTTTTATTACAGTAGGTTTATAATTTCATCAATGTCTCTCATGAGCAGCAGTAATAAGAGCTGATGTCTCTGTTATCATTTAACGAGGGGGGAGAGGCCTGAGCATCCATTACACTCACGAGCACATCAGAGGCGCATCGTGGACATGCGCGGTGAGTGACAGCCAGTTATCACTCTCGCGCAAACCCTGGGCTGCCTGAATAATGCGGGCTAGCTGTCTCTAATGCGACGTGCGACATTTGAAAATGTTTCAAATTGAGCCCCGGCTTTTCATCATCCGACGAGACGAGACGATCAGTTTCTCATGAGCTGCGGGGGAAACCTGTTGATCTGAAGGTAAATGTGGAGTGAGGAAATCAGCATTTATTGATCCTCACGGTAGCTACAGCGTGAGAACGTAACGAATGAAGACTGATAGAAAGAAACGGCATCGCAGCTGTCATTTACACCTGAACCATAACATGCTGATTTTATTTAGCTATCGGATTTATTTTAGTAAACCGTTTTTGCTGTCCTTACTTGTTTTAAAATCGCAATTAGCCTATGCATCATGAGCTCCATTTGTTAGATTATGATGGACAACACATATTAATAACCTAATGTTGTCATCTATTTTTAGGTTTAAGTAGCAATGCGTCTCTCAACTATCTTAAAGACGTTTTAAACAATTTTTTGTGATATATTATTGTGAGTTGTAAATCTATAATTACTTGATAAATAATGACAGCTACAGTTTTTCTATGAAGCATCCGATGCAGACAGCGATCGAGCATCTGTTGCTATGGCTACTCCTTCCAGCACACTCTAACTTGTAAAATAACTTTTGTGGTTACTGGAACGTAAACCTGTTTACCTCCTTTGGGGCTCCTATACCCCACAATTCGCACCCTGATATTTTTAATGTTGAAAACTGAAAATAAGAAACAACTTGCACACTTGACATTTTATGCACTCCTAATATGATTCGAATTTACAGTGTTAAAGTATTCGTTTACAGATATGTTGGATATATCATGCTATATGAGGGATGCAAAGGAACATTTTTTCATGGAATCCATCTGTTTTACTGGCCTATTGTAATAAGGACATATTAAGGCATAATAGAAAATATCACATTGGCAAATTATAATTTGTGTACACAGTTTATCACAGCACAATTGTGTGTGTAATCCATGTTCTTCTGTGTTTTTTGTATATATTTTTAAAAAATTAAATTGGAATTTGTAAAAAATTAAATTGGAAAAATGCACATCATTATTTTTTTTAAATATTGCATGAAAAAATTTTTATTACAGTAGGTTTATAATTTCATCAATGTCTCTCATGAGCAGCAGTAATAAGAGCTGATGTCTCTGTTATCATTTAACGAGGGGGGAGAGGCCTGAGCATCCATTACACTCACGAGCACATCAGAGGCGCATCGTGGACATGCGCGGTGAGTGACAGCCAGTTATCACTCTCGCGCAAACCCTGGGCTGCCTGAATAATGCGGGCTAGCTGTCTCTAATGCGACGTGCGACATTTGAAAATGTTTCAAATTGAGCCCCGGCTTTTCATCATCCGACGAGACGAGACGATCAGTTTCTCATGAGCTGCGGGGGAAACCTGTTGATCTGAAGGTAAATGTGGAGTGAGGAAATCAGCATTTATTGATCCTCACGGTAGCTACAGCGTGAGAACGTAACGAATGAAGACTGATAGAAAGAAACGGCATCGCAGCTGTCATTTACACCTGAACCATAACATGCTGATTTTATTTAGCTATCGGATTTATTTTAGTAAACCGTTTTTGCTGTCCTTACTTGTTTTAAAATCGCAATTAGCCTATGCATCATGAGCTCCATTTGTTAGATTATGATGGACAACACATATTAATAACCTAATGTTGTCATCTATTTTTAGGTTTAAGTAGCAATGCGTCTCTCAACTATCTTAAAGACGTTTTAAACAATTTTTTGTGATATATTATTGTGAGTTGTAAATCTATAATTACTTGATAAATAATGACAGCTACAGTTTTTCTATGAAGCATCCGATGCAGACAGCGATCGAGCATCTGTTGCTATGGCTACTCCTTCCAGCACACTCTAACTTGTAAAATAACTTTTGTGGTTACTGGAACGTAAACCTGTTTACCTCCTTTGGGGCTCCTATACCCCACAATTCGCACCCTGATATTTTTAATGTTGAAAACTGAAAATAAGAAACAACTTGCACACTTGACATTTTATGCACTCCTAATATGATTCCAAAATCGCTGGATATGACAGGCTATTTTAAATCTTGCGACCCCCTTGGTGGTGTGCTGATGCCCCATGGTTCAGAACCTATTTACATATTTATTTTCGTATTTACACATCTATCAGCTTCGCCCGTTTAAAATAACCCTCCTGTTGTTCGCCCCGTCACACATGATCTATAATTACTTGATAAATAATGACAGCTACAGTTTTTCTATGAAGCATCCGATGCAGACAGCGATCGAGCATCTGTTGCTATGGCTACTCCTTCCAGCACACTCTAACTTGTAAAATAACTTTTGTGGTTACTGGAACGTAAACCTGTTTACCTCCTTTGGGGCTCCTATACCCCACAATTCGCACCCTGATATTTTTAATGTTGAAAACTGAAAATAAGAACACACTTGACAATTTATGCACTCCTAATATGATTCCAAAATCGTTGGATATGACTTAGGCTATTTTAAATCTTGCGACCCCTTTGGTGGTGTGCTGATACCCCATGGTTCAGAAGCTATTTACATATTTATTTTCGTATTTACACATCTATCAGCTTCGCCCGTTTAAAATAACCCTCCTGCTTTGTTTCCCCTTAGTTACTATTGTTGTCCGCAACACCGCCCACCGCCAGGCGCTTACAGCTCTATCAGGTAGGCTGTAAGGACATCTGTCCCGGGTAATTACCGTCGTTCACAGTTTAATTCCGTTTACAGCTACTAAACCTGACCGGTAAGCGCATTACCGGAGCAGCGCAGCGCAAACACGAGCGCTCGCGCAGTCCGCGGAGGTGCGAGTCTCCCACCCAGATTACATCAGCATGAATAACAGATTACAGCAGGCGTTATCAGAGCGATCGGTGAGATGTGAAGTGAACCGTCAGTGCAATTCATAAAGCCTGTCATCGGTTACAGAGGCGTCACTCTCACTTCATGCCAAACGTCACCGTCGCTGTCACACGTAAGGCCTGTCAGGTGTGCATGCCAGTTAGTGATTACTTGAGTAGGATGAGAAAGGGACAAATCTGTTTGTTGTTTTGTATCTTGAATATGTGCAAGAGTTTGATTGTCATTATGTCTGATGGCCCTGATATGAATTTGCTTGCGTTGTTGCAGATGTCAGAAAGAGAGTGCTGGTAATTCAGTACCCAAAGAGTTGAAGATGATGGGTATGTATGAAGTTTTAACACAATATTATTTTTAGCCGTCATGTGTGTCTCAATATGTCTTTCACAACTTATGATAATAACATATTTGTGAGTTAATGTGCCTATGGCATGCAGATTGTTGTACGCACTCTCATGTGGGATATGAGCTGATGTGACTGCATGTGCCCGTGTTATTAATATATTTATGTGTATGTGTGTGTATAGACACACAGCGTGCTTTGCTGGCAGTGGAGCGGCTGCAGGAGAGGCTGAAGAAGAAGGGAGAACTGCCTGCTGAGGAAAATCTCAGTCTGCTCAAGAGTGTCTTACAGAGTCCCCTGTTTCACCAGATACTCATCATGCAAGACACCGAACATCAGCATCAGCAACAACAGGTCAGAGACGAATAACATCATCATTATACTGCATGACCAAAAAATAAAAAATGGCATACACTGACACAAAAAGACATCAAAACAATAGTGTGCTTTTCCATTATATAGCCTAGTGTTTTATTTTTAATAAATGTATTCAATTAAACAGTGTAAATAAATTTCTCATAACTATGTAAAATTTAAAAAATAAAATCATATTTTTAAATCTAATTGGCTGATAGTACTTCCATATTTATGACATGACACAGCTAGATTCATTATATGGCACATTGCTGTCATTACCATCATAACTGATCTTGTGAAGTGCTGATGTGAAGTGTATTGAACAAAAGTATGCTGATATCCAACTCCACAACTATTGAAATTTACATGCAGGTATATTTTATAAAGCAATTATATACCCAGGGAGCATAATTTCAGATATTCCCTGATGCGAACAGACCTCTTCCCTGACTACATCATCTCTGTTTCAGTGTCTATTATTAGATGAAATAAAACATGAGACAAACCTTTCTTAAAGGACTTTTTTGGATTCAGTACAAGTCAAGTTGAACTGACAACAGTTGTGGCATAATGTTGTCCCTCGTTTGCTTTAAAAAAGAAAAAGTCTAAGTTAAATGAAGGTGAATGGCGCCAATCCATTAACATTAATTTAATATGCTTGCTGTTTCAATAGTAAAGCCGCAAGATATAAACAATATGCATGTTAATGTGATTTTTGCATGAAAAAAAAAACACCGTGTTATACCTAATTTTACAGCTTTGGCAGCTTTACAAATAATAAACTGAAGAGTCACATGTGAGCTTATAAGGTTTGTTGTCCATTATCAATAGTGATGCATGAAGCACAGCTAAATCTGAGGTCGCTTCCGAGCTAAACAGCTTTATATTGATCACAGCATGCAATTTGGATGTTCAAAGTTTAACAAACATGAATTAGTTGCAAAATCTACAATTGCACAAAATTCCAAATAGCACAGATTATTATTTAAATGACTGCCAGCAGAATTTCACTGTACAAAGGTACAGTAAGTGTAACCTGCACCCTTAACATATTCTATAAATGCTTTTATAAAATTATAAAGATTCGCTTTTCTGCTTTTACAACCTCCAAAAATTGGCCCCATTCATTTCCATTGTAAGTGCTCCATTGTAACCCTGATTTTTGCTTATCTTAACAAAACAAGGGATAAGTTGAAATTTTTTGTTGTGGTAATAAACTTTATGCCATAAATGCTGTCAACTGAATCTAACTTGTATTGGATATTCCACTGAATATATTCCTGTAAAAATAGTTGCATGCACTGAATTTCAAGTTGAGCTTGTATTTGACATTTGACTTTAACTGTGCAAGTGTATAACCACGTTGACCCAGAGGACTACATTTGCAGAGCATAAAGAGGTCAGAGAAGCCCAGCAGATATGAGTGGGAGGCGTGAGAGGTTATTCAAGGATACTAGGTGAAAGAGTCTCAAAGGTGGTCTGGGTTCACAGTATGTGAGTTGGGGTGTGTGTGTGTGTGTGTGTGTGTACCTGGTATTTATCACGTTATGGGGACCAAATGTCCCCACAAGGATAGTAATACTAGTA